AGATGGGAGAGGGGAGTACTGGGGGATGTTCGTGTACTTATTGCCATTGTTCCCCCTGTTCCTTTTCCTGTTCTCTCCTTTCTTGGCCTGAGATCATCCTCCCTGCCTTCGTGTCTATAAGATCATATATTCCCCCGATAAATATTTGTTAAATTTCATTCTGGTGCTTGTTTAATTATTCTGATATCAGTGTTTGGGAACCATAGAGTTTTGGGGCAAGAGCCTTGTCCTGGTGGGATGCAGTGACAAATATTCTAGCCACTCCCGCCACAGTAAGTACCCACCTCCTCCCATCTGCTGGTTGCCAGGCCATGCCAGACAACTCGGGGGGGGGGTGTAGCCCAAGAGCAATTGGTCAGTGTGGATCATGTGGTACACCTTGACTCCATTAGCTCTTTGGCCTGAGAAACTGGTGCTTCTTGTCATGGCTTCTTCTCCTCAGCTCCCCCTTTCCCTCAAAGATGCTGCTTCTGAAGTCAGCATGCGGCAAATCTGAGGAGTTTACAATAAGTTTGTTTCGCTGGGATGGCACTGGTAGAAGCAGAAGGGATGTTGGCAGAAAGCACTGTTTCTAACGTTTATGTTATTTCTCCTTGGTGCCAGAGACAATCAAATGGTCTTTAAAAAAAATGTGTTCAGAACATTTTAAATACCTTGCTGTAGTCATTTAAACGCACGGTTTAAAATCTGGCACCTCACTTTCTTGTTGGAGACTCTGCTTCTAAATGCTATCTGCTTTTAAAGAACGGCTTAGTCCCCCCCTTCCCCCACGGTTATGGGCTACAGAAAAACACAGTCCAAAGTTCTTCTCACTCCAAGAAGTCTGGTAACTATATAGACAACCCCTTATGTATGGATCAGGAACTAGGATATTAGGACAAAACATACCTCTGGTCCTTAGTAAATCTGGGGAAGAACAGATGCCATAATTATGGATCATCAGAGCCCACCTACCAACTCCTGAAAATCCCAAAGAAAATTATTTAGGTTTCTCCCCTTGACCTCAATCTCCTCCTATAATTACAACTTGTTCCATTATTAATGTAAAGCCAAAAGAACCAGAATATGTACATATGTTAAGATTTGCATTTATAATATATGTAATGAGTTAAAATGCATCTATGTTTCTAATTGCTTCAGTGGACGGATTGGCAGAATTATTCCCTAATCAGAATTCTGGCCTGTAACCACAAGTACCGATTGAGTTGGAAGAGTTTTAGGAATGTTCATCTATTCATCTAGATGTTATGCCTCCCTTTTCTCCCCAGTGTGGCTCACAGTATTATTTGCCCCTCCTCCGTTTTGTCCTCACAACATTCCTGTGAGGCAGGTTAGGCTTAGAAAGAACAACTGGCCAAAAGTCACCCAACCAGCTTCCATAGCAGAGTGGGGATTTGAACCTAGGCCTCCCAGATCCTAATCCAACACTCTAACCACTATACCATGTTGCAGACATTGCTCCTCCTTTCCATTATATTGGTAAACCTGACCTTAGATGAATAGGTCTACCCACCCCAGTCCACTATCTGGGTCGACTTGGCCTCCAGAGAACAGGTCTACCAGCCCCAGACCACTATATTGGTAGACCTGGCCTCCGAAGAACAGGTGTACCCACCCCAGTCTACTATGTTGGTAGACCTTGCCCTGGACTGTCACCTTGTGCTGAGCCTTATACCAGCACAAGGGGGGGGGGACTCTTGCAGCCTTTGATTTTTTTTAATGAAATATGAGAATCAGCATTACAGGTTAAGTATAACAGAGGAGGAACAATCACTGTCAGAACCCTGCCTAGCCTAACAAACAGGAAGTTGCTTAAATGTGATCAACCTGCCGAAACTACTTATTTATTCAAATATTTATATTCCACTTTTCCCTGTGACTCAAGCTGGGGGTATCTGGGGCTCTGGGGGGCTGTTGTTTTTTAGCTAGAGACACCAAATTCGCAGCATAGCTGTTGTGCTTCTCCTAAAAACAAATAATCCCCAAGTTTCAAAAAGATTGGACCAGGGGGTCCAATTTTATGGGCCCTGGAAGGAGGTGCCTTCATCCTCCACTGTTTCCAATGGAGGGAAAAATGCCTTGTGAGCAGAAGCAGAAACTCCTGTGCTGCCTGTTAAAATTTGTGCGCCAGCACCCTCTAACACAGTTTAGAGGGAACTATGGAGCCTCATGATGACTGGGCAGGAGGAGTACCACATTCAGTAATGGCACCTCACCTGTGGAATTCCTTTCCCCTTGAGGCTCACCTGGCACCAGGCTAAAACTATCCTTTTTACCCAGGCTTTTAACTAGGGGTTGATCTTTCAAATTGTTTTACAGTCTGCTCTAGTCTGTTTCATGACATTTTTTTCAAAGCTGTTGGATGTTTTCTACGCTGAACTTTTAACATTTTATCTGTTGATTTTTTAAATCATTTTTTTGCTTGTAAGCCACCTCGAGCAAGTTCCCTGGAGAGATGGCATAAAGTTTTCTAAATAAATAAATGTACCAAGGACCTGCCACAGTTCACTGGTTTATTTTAGAAATAGTATCATAATACTTAAACATTTGTAAAGCGTTTTGAACAGTGCAAAGTGCTTCACATATCCTACACTGCTATAATTGTTACACCAATGCTGTAACGCAGGAGAGTATTATTATCCACCCATTACAGACAGGAGGAGGCTGGGGGGAGCAGCAAGTCTTCCTCCTCTCCTCTGAGGGGGGGGGGGCAGCAAGCTACCACTTCCTTCGCCTATCTTGCGAGTTAAAAGCAGAGGTGATGTTCAGATGAAGGACTGATTCATACTTCAGTCTGTAAGCCAGTATACTATTTTGTAAAATATTTTTTATTTACTTAAAATGTAAAAGAACAGTTAAAAATAGGAAAGCAAATCCTGATGTTTATGGAGAGCAAACAGGGAAGTGTCGATTTTATGTGCTGCTGACGCTTCTAAGAGGGGCATCCATTTTTCTTGGAGATTGTCAGGGACAGGTTGATTTTCAGATCGAAGGATACTAGTGGAAACTTTGTCCTGTAGAAAAAAGTCCCACAATTTCAGATATCAATCGCTCAGTAGCAGCGTCTTCTTAGATTTCCAATGAAATGCTATAACATTCCTATCAGTCGCAAGACATAGTTCTATTAGCTCTTTCATAAGTCCATTGGGGGCGGGATGGCTCCAATAATTCAGGAGGAACAAGGAGGGTTGCAGTTGGAGGGCGCAACCTGTAATTAGAAATATTTGGGCGTTAACTTCTCTCCAGAAGGCCCGGACCTTGGGACACTCCCACCAACAATGAATATAGGTGCCCCAGCCGCCACAATTTTTCCAATATCTGTCAGGGATCGCGGGGTTGATGCCATGCAGCTGATGCGGGGTCAGGTACCATCGAAATAGAAGTTTATAGGTTAACATTTGAATATTGGTGGAACGGGAGCGGCAAAGAGGAGAGGACCAGATCGCAGTCCACTGTTCGGAGGTAAGCACCTGACCAATATCTCTATGCCATTTTATTTGATATCCGGCCTGATCTTCTTTAAGTTGAAAATTGAGAAAATAGTAAACTTTCGATACCAGTCCCCTGTTAGGTATGGACTGAGCCGCCATAAGGTCTTCAAACGGGCGTAAAATTGTGTCCGGCGGAGGGGTATGTGAGTCATGACATACTAAGTGTTTAACTTGTTCGTATTCAAACCAGGATACCCGTCCCTGTAGCTTGTGTTCTATTTCTTGTTGAGTATATAGGCAGCCCCCGGCCATGATGTCACAAAATCTGGTAAGGCCGTGCTTTCTCCAGCAGCGATAAGCTGAAGGATCTCCCCCTGGACAAAACTCTGGCGCAAAAACGTCTGCAATGGAAGCCAGTATACTACAGTATAGCTCTCAGACAAGGTGAACCCAAACATGACAGGTCTCACGTGCCCAAAGGCCCTGGCAAGGTGCCGAGGCACTTGTCATTGATTCGATGAAACAAGAAAATGAATAGAAAACCAAAAGAGTACAGTACAGATAGTGAAATTTAGAGTGGGGGCATTTTCACAATAGCAATAAATGACACTGAAAGGCAGGGGCTGGTGTTTTAATTCCAATGTAAAATGGTGGTTGGTGGGATTCAGTGTTCCCTGAGTGTATCTCCCAGAGAGACAATACATTTTTAGAGAGTTGAAGAAACTGAAAGAGGAGGGTCTCTGGCACTGCCCATGGCTGTGTGAACACTCATTCTACTTTCATATTTGGTCCAACAAGTTATGCAGGTTTTAGTACTGTTTCAAAAACCTGCACAGCCTATTTGACTAGAGGCAGCAGTGCAATAAGAGAAATGTGTGTAGACACCATGGGAAACAATGCTTCTGTCAAACTAGTTTAAATTATCCTGAGAACTATCATCTCATGTCTTTCTGACCTGTCTTTGAAACCCAGAGTTTGCCAAAGTTGAATATTCCCTCTAGCTTGCAGGAATTTCATGTATGCCTGGCTTTTCCTATTTCCTTTTTTTCCCTTAATGCAAGAGGGGGGAAAAACCCAGAAGAAGTCATCCATCATACATCACCAAAAAGATGAGAATTATTTTTTCCTCCCTCTTTATGTGGATGATAAAAACCATGCAGAATAAGGTGAAGATAACATGTTTATTTCTGGCTGAAGACTGGTTACTTACATCACAATCATGGATAATTTAATAGGATCTTATACTCTCTGAAGAAATCTAAGAATAAATATGAAAAAAGAAAAAAAATTATTCCAGTGGTATCTGAAAATGAACTTAAAAGTTTTGTATCATACAGTCTGAAACATACTCTTGATTTTAGGCTGAATATATAGAATCTACTTCCAAAGGGTAAAAAAAGTCCATCTGAATCTTGTTACTCACCACAAAATAAAAATAAAAGTAAAATCCATTCATAGTCCAAAAGCAAAGATTAGCTATACATTTATGATGCCACAGAGGAAGTGCTCATTGTCCAAGAAAGCATCATGTCTGTAGGCAAAGGGCTCTTCTGTGAAGAAGAAGTCTGTGCTGGGTACATTTCACTGACTCAAAGATCGACAACCCTCTATTGGTTCTTCAGGCTGCAAAAGAGAAGAGAAAAAGGAAGAACAGAGAGCACAGGAACCCTTTTAGGAACCATTTGCTTGCAGGAGAGGAGAGACAAGGGTCTGGAGGTCAGCCTGCCCTCCTGCTCCCAGTGGTTCCAGCCTTCCATCCATTAACTGCCAGTATAGGATTCCCTTCTTCTGTCATAGAACTCAAGGAAGTTTGTAGAGGGCATCCAGGAGGTCTCCCATTTTAACACTGTCCAGATTCCAAACAACTCAGGACCTAACTATGTGGATGCATTAAAAGTCCACCTTGTGTCTGCCCTAGGTCCTGTCAACCAGATGTGCCCTGGGAGTTCTGTATTGAAAGTTAAATTCCCAGGCGAGGGGGACTTCCGGTCACCATGGCACGGCGATTAAGAAAGTTAAATTCCCAGGCATGTGGCAGTCCAATTTATATTGTGTCCATGGTGCATAAGGAGAGGGGGCTTAAGCCCTCCCCTATTCCATTTTCTTGACCAGAAATGGCCCTGGGGAGCTGCCACTGGCTCTTTTGATGAAGCATCAGTGCACTGGTAGGCTACCCATCTGTTTTCCCAACTACAAAAAAAGTGGCTTTCCAGGGACATTTCACATTGAGAAAACAGCACGGTGTGTGTGTGGGGACGACACAATCCCCCCTGAGTGTCATGGAACTGGGCCCCTAAATGCTAGAGAATTAAGGAACTCCTAGCATGCACCTGGTCAACAGTACACAGGGCAGACCTGCAAACTATATGCTGTGTGGCTAGGTCCTCTGCTTCAATAAACTTACTGTATATTGTGCCTGCCACCATACTGAGGGACATCAAGTATTGCTCAAGGATGGTTGAACAGCTGTTTTTAGTGTTGTTGTTCTAGTCTATATAATTGTTACAAGTCACCACAAGTGCTTGTTAAAAATGTAATTAAAAAGTGAGACGTAAATTTATAAGCTCTGATCGTGGCGCAAATGCATTGGAAGCTTTCTTGCTTCGAACAGGGATGAGAGGGTTTCTCTATTCTGCTTCTTTTTTGTTCCTTAATTTTGCACTGCCTGGTCTCCACTCCTTTAGTTCAAGCAGGCAAAATTCTAAAATAATTCTGGAACTGGTTGCACAGTTTGTTTAGATTTGCTGCAACTTCTGTTATTGTATGTATGTTTAAATATTTCCTGCCTCTATATTACAGATGCACACGTGCACATTGATAAAACATTGCAAAAAAGCAATCTTGATATAATTGTATATATGCTTGCATCCAGAGTCTTTTGGTGTTATTTTTTGCTGATGCACACATGTACTCAGATAAAAGACCACACGTTAAAAAAACACCTTCATTCAACCATACACAGAATCACAACCAGAATGCCTTTTTGCAGGGTTTTATCAACATGTGCACTGGCAATTTAGAGGGAAAGTAGGGAAAACAGGGAGGAAAAAGAGGAACAGAAAGGCATGGGAAACAGTACATGCACAGTGCTCTGTACAAACTATGTAAGTTAAAAAATCCTATAACAACAGTGTTTTCGTAAGGAATTGTTTCCATTCTAGAAACAAGACTGGGTAATTTAGAACACCTAAACTCATATGATGAAAATTTTGGAAGAATCCCTAGTTTCAAAAACCTCTTATGGGCTTCCTGTTCCCATAAATTCTCAGGGTATGTTCAGTGTCATATTCAAGCATTGCCCTTCTGATGCAACTGCTGAAGTACTTTAATCAGTTGACAATACCAAAGCTTGGAAGAGCTTTTACTCTGGCCAGAATGAATTCTCTTCCTTTGGCGGTCTTGTAGGGCAGATATTAAAAAGTGCCATGCGCAAAAAGAATATGTAGATGCTCACTTGATAAAGTTGAAACTATTTAGCATATGATTATGGAGTGTCCTATATTTAATGAGCTGAGGGCCAGTTTAATTACTCCTTTATTGAAAATGATGGAAAGGTCTAATGAGGCACCTGATAGTATGAGGACACAGGTGACTTGGTTATTATCAGATACAAATGATTCTGTTACTCTTTCTGTGGCAAAATTTGTAGGGGTAATAATCAAACAGTAGGGCATTAATTTTATTTTACTGTTTTATTTTCTGCTTAAGGCTATAGCTGTATGAGCAGTAATAGACAGACAGATGACAGAACTCCTCTCTGATTGCTTTTTTTAAACTGGAGGAGTGGCAATAATTATGGCTTTCATTAAACTTTGGCAGTAGGAATCAAGAAGAGAATTCAGGGTGGAAGGAGGGTGGGTTACCATAGCTCCATCTTAGATCCGATGCCAGACCATCCATGATCTGGTTCTCACCACAAATGGATCCACATGGGACCCCTAAGAAGCTTCAAGACCCTGGCATGTGATGATGACATCACTGTTATGCCTTGGCAACACACTGGCACTCCTCTCTGCCCTCCTGTGCAGGTTACTTAGCAGAAATGGCAGCGATGGCAAGGAGGGCTCCATAGGCAGCCCAATGGCTACAGGAGGATTTTAGGGTCTGGATGCTACCACATCTATAGAGACTGAATTCCAGTAGATTCCTGTTGCCACGGGGACACTGCACAAACAGAAAGGATGTCAGGGAACAGAGTCCAGTTACTCTAGAAAATTTCCAAAGTGGATGAGTGTACATGTGTGTTGACGCTGTTTTTAGTATTTTTGGTGTTACTTGCTAAGGCTATGAGCGAATGCGATAAAATGTATGTATGTATGTACATGTGTGTTCATCACCAGTGATTAATCTTGTTTATGTAAGAAATATTTGGTACACATACTAAAAAAAAAAAAGCCACATACATGGTACTCTGGACAGCTCCTCTCTATGCCCAGAGACCATGATTTGTTCTTAAAACGCAAGGCAGATATTTGCATACTCCAACTTTCCAATATAAAAGTGCTTTGGTGAAATTTGGTTGTAACTCTACATTTTGTACAATTTAAAGGGATGTAGAAACAATGAGTAATAAGATTTTCTCAAGTGCTTTCTCAAAAAAAAAAAAAAAGCAGCACTTAGCTCACAAACCATTCAATTATTTTCAAACAGTGATCAAAGCACTTAGGCATATCAAGATATCTATTTTCCCCTTCCACCAAAAAAGGAAAGGCAAGATCTTCAATCTCACAGTGATGGAAATATTACGCACTCCCTTTTTAGAGGCAGCGCAATTATTCAGATTCTTTCCAGTAGCACTGTAGTAATGACAAATTTAAATGCCTTTAAATCCCATCTAGCTTTTATAATTATTCATGCGCTAAGAGTTATTATTACACTACAGCCCTCCTTTTCGTATATTAGTCAGCTCCCTGAATGACACAGAAAGCACGCAGAATAAACATGTGCTATTAAGAAAAGTTGCAGCAATTCAGATTAAAAAAAAAAAAAATCCTTTTCTAACTGGGGTCAGATATGCTTTACTGCTCTGGTGCTTAACGAAATCCCATGGAGTTTAATAGAAATCTAACCAGCGAGAGAAACTAGATCATCTCGGCAGAAATCATTTTTGATTATTTTTGTGGATTTGTGCTTTTAAAAACAGAACTAGGACAAACGCAGTGGAGGAAAACATTTCCTGCCTACAACGGAGGTAGGAGAAGCCTGATGAAGATATTCATTTGAATGCTGCACAAGCCTATTTGGGAGCAACAGAGGAGCCTGGGCCCTGGTGATGCATTTCAAAATGGTGAAGGACGAGCAACGAAGGGCTCTGGAAGAGCCACGGTGGTCTTGCAGTGTTGTGAAACTAATGCAAAAACATCAGCCCACCAACTTTAGATTCCAGGCAAATCTTATAGCCATGGTACCTGTTTCCAATACCAGAGAGCCACTAGAAAAAAGAAAACAATTGCATTAATACTGGCCTGAGGAGTGATCAGCACATTACCTATTCTTTTCTCTCAAGGTCAGTATAGTGGTTTATTAAAGTGTTAGACTTGGATCAGGAACAGCCAGGTTCAAAGCCCTACTCTGCCACAAAATTTACTGGGTAATCTTGGGTCAGTCATACGCTCTCAGCCTAATTTACCTCACAGGGTTGTCGTTGGGGTCAAATGGAAGAGGGGACACTGAAATGTACCACCCTGATCTCCCTGGCAGAAGAAGTGGAGATAAAAACGTAGTAAAGAGATAAGTAAAAACTTCCAGCTTGCTACATACTATGTTTGGAGCAGATTCACCAACACAGCCGTGGTTTTTGCAAAGCTCAGGCTTTAGGGATGAGAATATGTGCCCTATTTTGTTTCTTTTAAAATATTTTTAATACTGTAGATGCCTTTGTATCATATCTGTGTGCGGTATGATTTCATAACATTTCGGACAGCTACAATAAGAGCAGAAGAGGCTTCCGCATTCAACGTGAATGTAGGCTGAGCTGAAGGGCCAGTTTCAAAAACTGGCATCAGGCTGGATCAGGTACCCACCAGGCCTCTGGAAGCCTCAGCCAGCTGTTGAACTTTTCCTCAACTTCCCCTACAGACTTTATGAACTCTCCCAGGCTCTGGCTAGCTCACAGCCCGGCCTTCTGATTGACTGGGAGCCTGAAAAAGCCATTGTACATTCTGCCCAGCAAGCAGCATTGACTGATTGCAATCTCCCTGACCCATCTATCTAATCCCAGTTCCCAGCCCCCCATATAGAAAGTCACCCTATGGGCCCTGATAAATTTCACTGGTCTGCCCCTTCCCAGATTCCCACTTCAGTGACAGAGCCACAAAGGCCCATTTGGAGGCAAATTGGGAGGTTTGTGCACAGGGGGTAGGAAAGCAAAGGAATTCCAAGGGAAAGAAACAAGACTAACACATTTTCTCAGAGATCGCTTGCATGGCTTATGTCCACCTGCTCACAGCAGCTGCAGCAGCAGCAGCAAGGGGGAATGGGCAGTCATGGCACCCAGACACCCACTGCTCTACTGCAGGCTACCCGTGACCATGCCAGGAACACCTGTGCCCCTGAAACCCCTTTTCTTTTGCATTCTGTACCGAGCAGCGCTGTTGTGCTACGGTGCAGCTCAGCAGGGAAAA